TAGATAGATAGATAGATAGATAGATAGATAGATAGATAGATAGATAGTGATAACTTGGGACTCAGTATTCCAACATTCAAGAGCAAAATCTATTACACCTAAAGACTGACAATGTACAAGAAATATGCTATGGCAAGGGGGAGCCAGGACAAAAGGTCAGTTGGGTTTTACCATCATCCCCACAATCATATGGGTACCAAGCCTCATTGAGAAGCCCTAAGGAACTGATTACAAGGGCAGCTGATCGAAGAACAAAGGTTTTGACCAAGCAAAGCACCTATGATCTGCACCACTTGCCAAGGCTTAGGAACAAAGGAACCCATAGAAGACTGCTTGAAGAAGACTCAATGCCACACACATGGATACTGGAGTGCTTGAAATTGTATAACAACAGGACACTAAGAGCCTTCATCGACATCTCAATGGGAATGTGGAAGACAACTCTAAAGGCCAATCAAAGCCACTTGCTCAAGTCACCATCAAATGTGGCATGTACCAAGGTGATACACTGTCCTCAATCCTGTGCTGCACAGGCCTGAACCCCCTCAGCCAGATCATTGCAAAGAGTGGCTATGGATACTGGTTCCAAAGTGGAACAATCATCAATCAACTCCTCTACATCGGTCACATTAAGCTGTGTGCCAAAAATGAGCAAAACATTGACTCACCGATCCATCTCACCAAGATACACAACAAGGACATTGTAATGCCATTTGGACTGGATAAATGCAGTCAAAAAGTATGCAAGAGTGGCAAGGTGATCACAACTGAATGGGTTGAACTACCTGAAGGCAACATTGCATATGTCAAGGACAGCTGCAAATACCTTAAAATCACACAGGCAAACAGCAATCATAATGAGGCTGCAAGAAAGTCAGCTACAACCAAGTATCTACAGGGAGTAAGGCAGGTCCTGAAGAAACAGCTAAATGGCAAGAACAATGTACAAGTTATCAACATGTATGCAGTGCCACTATCATATCCCTAGCTGGTGTGATAACCTGGCCAAAGGAGGAGATAGAAGCCACTGGCATCAAGACTCAAAAGTTTCTCACCATGTATGGAGGGTTTCACCCGAAGTCCAGCACCCTGAGTCGATACAGAGGACTAGTGAGCATCCGAGCCACTACACAGAATGAAACAACTTTGGTCCTAAAGTACATCAGGAGGAATGCCCCCAATAATGAACTGATGAGTGAATATCTCAGACAGCAGAAGAAACTGAAGGTGGAAGAAGAGAAACAAGAGGAGCCATCATGGAAAGATAAGCCCCATTTCATGTACCACAAGTGGGTACTTTTCAGAAGGGTAACTGCATATGAGTAGGAAGGAAGCAGAAAAATCAAGTTTAAACAGTTAAACATTAAGGAAATTATTCCCAGAAAAGAGAGATCTGAGCAGACATAATGACAAAAGAAAAAGAAGATGAGAAAGTGATGGTAGGTTTGGAGTCAAGGAAAAAAACCCAGGAAGGACAGATGGTGAAGGATTTTGCCAAGAGGATGGAAATGGCTGTAGACAACACATATTTCCAAAAGAGAGAGGAACATAAAGTGACCTATAAAAGTGGAGGCATGAATATGCAGGTATACTACATTCTGTGTAGAAGAGGAAACCTGAGGGAGATTGGGGACTGTAAGGTTGTGGCAGGGGAGAGCATGGCCAGACAGCATTGGATGGTTGTGTGTAGAATGACTGTTGTTGTGAAGAAGAGAAAGTGAGCAAAATCAGAGAAGAAGACCAAATGGTGGAAGCTGAAGAAAGAAGAATGTTGTGAGGTGTTCAGAGAAGAACTGTTAAAGGTTGTGGGTAGTAAGAAAGAGCTTCCATGTGACTTGGCTACTACAGCAACAGTGATTAGAGAGATAGGTAGGAAGGTAAATGGTGTATCATCTGGACAGAGAAAAGATTAAAAGGAGACCTAGTGGTGGAATAGTGAAGTGCAGGAAGTTATCCAGGGGAACAGATTAGCAAAGAAGAAATAAAACAGAGGACAGAAGTGATTAAAGAGGAACATAAAGAGATTTGACACAGAGAAAAGAGGGAGGTTGCAAAGGCAAAACAGAAGGTGTAAGATGAGTTGTAGAAGAGGCTGGATATTAAAGAAGGGGAGAAGGACTTGTATTGACTGGAGAGATGGAGGGATCAGGCTGGAAAGGATGTGTAGCAGGTTAGGTTTGTTAAAAATAGGAATGATAATGTTCTATCAAGTGAGTAGACCATGACAAGAAAATGGAAAGAGTACTGTGAGGCACTAATGAATGAAGAGAATGAAAAAGAAAGATGATATAGGTCATAGAAACTGGGGACTAGGAAGTGAGAAAGATTAGTGAGGGTCAAGTTCAGAAAATACCTGAGGGACCTGATGACATACCAGTGGAGGTATGGAAATGTCTAGGAGATATGTCAGTGAGGTTTTTGACTCAAGTATTTAATGGCATTTTTAAGAGTGAGACAATCGCTGAGCAATGGATAGGTGGCCATTTTTAAGAACAAGAGTGATGTACAGAGCTGTAGAAACTACAGGGGAATTATGTTGGGGTCTTTCTGTGTAGAGATTACATTTTCTATCTGTGTTTGAGTCAGTTTTCTCTGGATACTCCAGTTTCCTCCCACAATTCATAATATGCATGTTAGGCTGTCTTCAGGCCCAGTCCTCTCTTAAAACAGATATCTGTGATCTCAGTTAGCCTTGTTCGGTAAAGTACTATTAAAATGTAGTCTTTTGAAAATCCTTTTATATTTGAAATGGTGTTAAAATATGACATTTTACATCTTTATTCTTGGGTGACACGGTGGTGAAGTTGGTAGAGCTGCCACCTCTCAATGAGCAGGTTGCTGGATCGAATCCTGGCCAGGGACCTTTCTGGGTGGAGTTTGCATGTTCTCTTAGTGCATGTGTTGGTTTTCTCCTGGTATTCCAGTTTTGTCCCACGACCAAAAACATGCATGATAGGCAAATTCTATCCATCCATTAGCTTTACACGCTAGGGGACTTACGACTTAGGGACGATTTAGAGTTACCAGTTTGTTAGTCAAATTGGTAATTCTAAATTGTTCCTAAGTGTGAGTGAGAGTGTGAATGGTTGTCTTGTTTGTCTCTATGTGTCCCTGTGATGAACTTGCAACCAGTCCAGGGTGTCCTCTGCCTGTCACACAATGATGGCTGACCCCCACGACCTGAAAAGGAAGAAGTGACTAAAGAATAATGGATGGATGGATGGATTTTTATTCTTGCACAGATCATAAAAGTAAATGAATTGTCTGATGGTCAGCACAGTGGCGCAACTGGCAGAGCTGCTGCCTCTCAGCGAGCAGGTCCACAGTTCAAATCCCGGTCCGGAGGCCTTTCTGGGTGGAGTTTGCATGTTCTCTCAGTGCATGCGTGGGTTTTCTCCGGGTACTCTGGTTTCCTCCCACAGACCAAAAACATGTATGTTAGGCTGATTGGTAACTCTAAATTGTCTCTAGGTGTGAGTGAGAGAGTGAATGGTTGTTTGTCTCGTTTGTCTCTATGTGGCCCTCTGATGGACTTGCGACCTGTCCAGGGTGTACCCTGCCCCTCACACAGTGATTGCTGGACATGGGCACCGGCGACCCCCGTGACCCAAAATGGAAGAAGCGGGTAAAAAGATAATGGATGGATGGATGAATTATCTGATTAGTTCGCTGGCTAAAGTGTAGCATGTATTAATCCACACATCAAGTAGAGAAACGTTTCTCAAAATGCCAAGCTATTTTATTTTGTTTCTTTCAAGATGCACATGACTTTTTTCTTTACTTTTATAGCAACATTCAAAGACCTAAATCAAGAATAAAACAAATCTGACCTTTATGTAGAGTATCATAATATTGCTGGGGTTGCAGGCTAACCATTAGCTAAGACCTCGATATTGCCACCTACTGCCTGACCTGGTTTATTTGTGCTATTTCCTCTTCCCATCTCACTCTTTTTTATTTCTGTTTTATCTATCTCGTCCTCTTCCATATGTCCCACATTTCACATTCTTTTCCCTCTAATCTAATTTTACCTTCCTCTCATTGCTACCATTGCTTTTTTGTGTTTTCATTTATTTATTCTTGTCATGTTTTAATCTGTTTTATATGCTGTCCTCTCTAAATCTTTCCTTCATCTCATAATTTTCTGCATCTCTATGCCTTGTCCACTACTTCTGTTCTGTAGTACATAGTGTTTGAGGCTGGACATGAACCCCTCCGTGGTCCCCAGTCAGAGGAGAGCGTTTATCAGGTACAAAACAAGCACTGTCCCACCCACTTCTTTTCCCTCTTATTATTCTTTCAAAAATGGAAGTCTCAAGAGATTTTACAGTATAGTTCTGTACTTCAGGAAGCTACAATAACATTATTTTATATGCAAAGGGTTTCTTGAAGTTTAGCTTGATATATAAAGGAAAAGAGAAGCATAACATTAGTCTATATTATAATAATATTTGTTATAATTATATATAATATATTTATTTATTATAACTATAGTATAACATTAGTCTAGGTAAATTAGTCCAGAAAAAAAATAAGTGGAGTCTGTTATTATCAAGGTGACTTACCCCATGGTAATTCAAAGTGTCAAAATAAAACTGCAGGCTTAAAACACAATAAATAAAAGGTAGGATCATTCAAAAAAGGACCGTTCGTGTCGAAAATAATGTTTTTAGTGTTTAGGTCAGTTACATTTGGACAAACAAAATAAGACCTTTTTGATTTTAAACCATTTGAAGGGCTAATAAGAACTCCAGGGACCTATTGTAGGTCTTAAACTCCTTTCCTTCCTTTCTCCTCTTTGTGCCTCTTTGGATCTAATCACAATTAGGAGTAAACCCAAAGTAATAGGACTGAGGCAAACAGACTCAAGCTCTTAAAATAATTAAAGTCACTTTATTTACAGTGAGGGTTTATATACTTATATGTACATACAGGGGGACCTAGGAAGCCTGGGGAAGGAGAAAGAGAGTAAGGATTACTTCTGAAAGGAAATAGTAGGTAATGAGCAGGTTGTCTATTCCTTACTGATATGTAGGAGGATTAACGGCGTTGAAAGGAGAGCAGAGGATTCCAGGTAGGTATGGTCCAAGGTCGAGAGGTAGTAGAAGGATTGTAGTGGTTAGTAGATGGGCAAGTTGTGAAGTGGCAGACAAGCAGCTGAAGTTAAGCCAAAATTAGAGATTGCAGAGATCCAATGGTAAGTAATGGTCTTGGAGGCACAAGGAAGGAGACAAAGAATCCAGGACTGTAAGTACTGTAACTCCAACCCCAGTGTTTCATATCCAGAATGTGACTGACTGTATAGGTTGCATGACTATCAATGAGACAGGGGGTAGAGGGAGGTTGTCAGGAGGACACAAAGGACTCTCTGAAACAGGTTTGACCTGAGAAACATGAAGAGTAGCATGGATGCCAATTGAGGTGGATAATATTAGTCTGTCCACAGAGGGGTTTATGACCTTTACAATGGGAAAAGGGCCATTGAAGCATGGAACTAATTTTATGGGGGTGTCCAGATGACCTGACTGAAAATTGTTGGATTGTATACCTGGATTATTGAGCATGGACTTTGTTGGTTTTGAACCAGTTTGACATGACTGTCGACAAGGAAGAGGGCTGGCACAAGAGGGAGGGGCGTGCCAAAGAGACCATTTTAGCACCAGCATAACTGGATTGTTCCACTTTGGAGTAAGCTGTTGGGGGAAGAATCAGTTTTGTGTTGTGTGTTTTCTTGACAGATGAAGCCTTCTGGATCGAAGGTGAAACGTTTCAGCACAAAAAAAAAAAAACCTCCAGATGACCTGACTGAAAATTGTTGGGTTTCTGGGGGTGTCTTTTACATTGATGTTTCAGGTAGAAATACATACCTTCGGGCCAACCTGGTAGGTAGGGGCTACAGAGTGATGTCGAATGGAGAATTTATTTGTTTGGTCAGCTGTGCATAACAAGGCTGCCTTGGTCTGTCACCAAACTCTCTGGCAAGAATGAAAATGATGCTGGACAGAAGGTACAATTATTTCAGCTTCTTCACTGGGGAGAAGAGGTGGTGTGTAAGCCAAGGAAGCTTCAAAAGGTGACAAGCCAGCAGCAGAAGATGTGTGGGTGTTGTGAGCATATTCAACCCAAACTAGATATTTGCTTCAAGCAGAGGGGTTATTGTTAATTACACACCTTAGTCCGGCTGCCACTTCTTGGTTGCAACATTATGATTGACTATTGTACTGGGGATGGTATCTGTATGTCAGCCTGGATGAGGCCCCAAAGGTGAAGGCCTGCCAGACCTGGGAGGTGATCTGGGGTCCTCAGTCAGACACAATATCCATTGGTATACCATGGATTTTGATTGAACACATGCTGGACCAGAAGGTGGGCAGTTTCAAAGGAAGAGGGAAGCTTGACCAGAGGAATGAAATGGGCAGTTTTGGAGAATTTCTCAATTACTATGAGAATTACAGTGTTATCTTCAGATGGAGGTAGTTCGATGATGAAGTCTAATGAGATATGTGATCATGGATGGCTGAGAGTAGGTAAGGGCTGCAGTAGGCCTGAAGGAAGTTGGTCTCTGCTCTTGTTGCATGCACAAGTGGGGCAGGCAGCAACAAAATCCTTGACCTCTTGGTTTAAGGTGGAACACCAAAAATGTCTCTTGATAAATGAAAGCATATGATTAACACCAGTATGACAAGACAACTTATTGGTATGGATTCATTCTAAGAATTTGCCTCTCACTGACCTGGGAACAAATAACTTTCCAGTGGGATAAGTACCTGGGTCAGGTTCAGACTTTTCGGCTTCTTGGATTTGCTTTTCAATGGATCATGTGACAATGCCAATAACACAGGAGGATGGAAGGATACTCTTTTCTGTCTTTAAATTGTCAGAGACAGAGAACTGGTGAAACAAGGCATCAGGTTTGGGGTTCTTGGATCCAGGTCTGTAAATTAAAGAGAAGTTGAAATGAGCAAAATAATATAGACCAGCAGACTTGTCTAGGGTTTAATATTTTTGCATATCGGATGTACGTCAATTTCTTGTGGTTGATCCAGATAAGAAATGGTACCTCATTTCCTTCTAACCAGTGCCTTCATTCTTCCAAACCCAGATTAACAGCTAACAGATCTCTGTTCCCCACATCATAGTTCTACTCTGTTGGTGAGAGACACCAAGAAAAGAAAGCACATGCATGTACCTTGTTGTCATTCTGGAACTTTTGTGATAACACTGCCCTCATTCTAGTATCTGAGGCATCCACCTCTAGAATGAACTATCTTATTGGATCTGGATGACTGAGAATGGGTGCAGAAGAAAAGAGTTGTTTAAGCTCATCAAATACGGAATTAGCCTCTGGAGTCCATTTAAATTATCTCAGGGTGGAAGTTGAATGGTTGAGGGAAATTGCTTTCTGGCTAAAGTCCTTAATGAAACTCCTGTAGAAATTGGTGAATCCTAGGAGAAATGGCAGCTGCTTTCAATTCTCAGGAACTGGCCATTTTACTGTCCTTATCTTGTCGGGGTCTGTCCAGAACTGTCCTCCTTCAAAAATAATACCAAGAAAAGACACAGAGGCAACGTGGATCTCATACTTTTTGGCTTTGACAAACAGTAGGTTTCCACGGAGTCTTTGTAAGACTGATCTGACATGATGAGTGTATTGTTTGATGTGCTTGGAATACATTAATATATCATCAAGGTAAATGAAAACAAAAACATTTTAAAAAATCTCAAAGGATATTATTGACTAGGACCTGAAAGATTGTTGGGGCATTAGTGAGACCAAAAGGCATAACCAGGTATTCAAAGTGACCAAGTGGAGTCCTGAAAGTTGCCTTACACTTGTCCCCCTCCCTAATTCTCACCAAGTGATAAGCATTCTGGAGATCTAGTTTGGAGAAACCAGTGTCTGTCTCTTCAGTGGGTTCCTCTTTCTTAATAGGCGCAGAAACTGTAGAATGTAAGCACTTCTTCAGACAGAAGATACTCCATTTGGCCACTCTTTTTATTTCGTTCTATTATTGGGTTTTGTTTCTTTAACAAAGGAAACCCTAAAACAAGCTGTGTAGCGGGAGAGTCGAAAGCAAAGAACTCACTCTCCTCATGATGATTACCAGAGATGATCAGATGCAGACTCCGGGTCCTGTTATGGATCCTGGTGAGGTTCTGTCCCTTGAGACCAGCCACAGTCTGAGCAGAATGAAAAGTTTGAGTGGAAATTAATAATTGATCTACTAAATCCGTACTGATGAGGTTTTATTTGGCTTTGGAGTCCATGAGCGCTAAAATGGGTAATTTTATTTGGTTAGCTGAAATGATGGTAGGCAGAACTAAACGTGAGATAGGAGAAAAAGAGGAGCTTCTCACCAATATCTCCTGATTTATTGGCAGGAATAATCATTTCCCCATGGGCAATTTGCAATGAAATGTCTGCTCTTACCAAAGTAAATGCACTCCCTAGCATTAATCCTTCGTTGGCTCTCCTCTGGGGTAAGGCGAGTGCATCCTACTTGCATTGGATTTGGTTCAGGTTCTGGAAATTGAACATGATAGAGGTGAGTCTTTGGCATTGAGTGTACCCCAGAAGAGAGGTGCAGTTGGGAACTGTGGTCTCCTTCCGTCTCTCACAGAAATGATTGTCGATGTGAATGACTACGTTTATAAGTTCATCTAGGTTGTGAGGTTCACCTCTTGTGGTAAGTTAGTCCTTAATTTGTTCAGATAGAGAATTTACAAATGTACTTCTTATGGAAAGTTCATCCCACCCGGTCTCCTCAGCAGTTATCTGGAAATGTAAAGCATTTTCATACAATGAACTTACACTCTGCTTCTTAGTAAAAAGGTGCTTTTCTGCTTCAACAACACAAAGGAAGTCCTTGTGAAACATAGAAAATGTTAGTGCTTCAATAGAGTGGGAATGCAAATAGGCGTGAGCCCAGAAGAGCATATTTCCTTTCAGGGAACTAATAACTCATTACACTAATCACATTTTTAGGGCAGAGGTGGTGTACAGGTAGGGCAGCCAACTTTGGACCAGAAATTTGCAGGTTCAACTCCCTGCCATGCCCACATATCATGGTATCCTTGAACAAGACACCTAATCCCTAATTGCTCCCTGGGCACTTACATAGCTGCCCACTGCTCCACCTGGGTGCATCTAACATGTGATGGATTATATGTAGAGAACTAATTTTGTCATTGTATGGGAACATAAAATTATGACAATGCATAGCACTTTATTTACATAAGCAATCTTGCCTGCATCAGAGGAGTATGTTCATGGTGCTCTATTGAAAGCCAGACGGCATTGTAAAACAAACCCTCCACAGAGGTGCAAGCTGTTGTTAAAACCTCTGAAGATCTGATAGCGGGTTCACAGGAAATAGAACAGGTTGTATTGAATACAGAAACAAATCTAGTAGTTGAGGTGTCCAGCTGGGGAGTTTGAGTGGAAGGAAGGAGTATGGATAACTTTTTGTTGATTAAAAACATCATACCCCCATTCTTCCAAATTGTATTGATTTGTGTTCGGATACGTTTACTCTGAGTAGAAAAAGATTGTTGAAACTGTTCATTCTCAGTCATATTCTGGGATGAATTGTCTGGATAGAGCATTCTATCACCATTAGAAATAAACCCAGAGTAATAGGACTGAAGCAAACAGACTCAAGCACTTAAAATAATTAAAGTGACATTTTTTACAATGATGGATTGTATGTACATACAGGGGAACCTGATGCACCTGCGGAAGGAGGAAGAGAGTAAGGATGACTTCTGGAAGGAAATGGTAGGTAATGAACAGATTGTGGGGCAGCTGTGGATGAGTGGTTAGAGCAGTCATCCTCCAATGGGAGAGTTGGGGGTTTGACTCCACCAGCAGTCACATGTTGAAGTGTCCCTGGGCAAGACAATGAACACCTCATTACCTCCAATATGTGTCCCACTGGTATATGAATGTGATCTAAAGCACTGATTCGGCTCTACAGATTCAAAATCAAATTAGTTTTGTAGAGATGTAGTAGAGGGTTGTATGAATGTGTCCTTAGCTGGGTAAATGAGGACACAGATTCAAAAAGGTCCATGCTCAATAATCTAGGTATACAATCCAACAATTTTCAGTCAAGTCATCTGGACAGTTTCTTTTTTTTTTCTGAAACGTTTCGCCTTCCATCCGGAAGGCTTCATCAGTCAAGGAAACACACAACACAAAACTGATTCTTCCCCCAACAGCTTACTCCAAAGTGGAACAAACCAGTTATGTTGGTGCTAAGATGGTGTTTTTGGCACGTCCCCTCCTCTTGTGCCGGCCTTCTTCCTCGTCAACAGTCATGTCAAACTGGTTCAAAACCAAAAAGGTCCATGCTCAATAATCCAGGTGTACAATCCAACAATTTTCAGTCAGGTCATCTGGACAGTTTATTTTTTTGCTGAAATGTTTCACCATCCATCTGCCAGCTGGTGATTATTGAGCATGGACCTTTTTGGTTTTGAACCAGTTTGACATGACTGTCGAGGAGGAAGAGGGCCGGCACAAGAGGAGGGGGCGTGCCAAAGACACCATCTTAGCACCAACATAACTGGTTTGTTCCACTTTGGAGTAAGCTGTTGGGGGAAGAATCAGTTTTGTGTTATGTGTTTCCTTGACTGATGAAGCCTTCCGGATGTAAGGTGAAACGTTTCAGCAACAAAAAGAAACTGTCCAGATGACCCGACTGAAAATTGTTGGAGGGCACAGATTGTGTTGTAAATCATTTTAAGTGTCTTGATTAGACAGAAAGACGCTATATAAGTACAGTCCATTTACCACTTACCTATTATCTATTCCTTACCAGTATGTAGGAGGATTAACAGTGTTGAGAAGAGAACATAAAATTCCTAGTAGGTATGGTTCATGGTTAAGGGATAGTCGAAGGATCGTAGTCAGTAGACAGGAAAGTGATGAAGTGGCGGAGGAGCAGCTGAAGGTAAGCCAAGATAAGAGATTGCAGTGATCCAATGGTAAGTACTTTTCTTGGCGTCATGAGGAAGTATACAAGAAATCCAGGACTTGAGACTTAGGAGGCAGGTTCTAAGAAACACAAAGAAGAAGACAAGACAAGTTCAATTCTTTTGATTAGACAATCAGAAGAAGGCCAATAGCAGTACCAGTTGGTATCTAATGCTCCAGCAGAGAAAGGAACACTTCCACAGCCTCTTATACTCCTGGAGCTTGTCAAGGAGATGACCCGCAGCTGCTGCTCGTTGGCTCTACCCAGGACTCAGGAACCTTCATGGAAAAGGCTGGAATCCTTCAGATCTTGCCTTCCTCTGAAGATGAAAGTTGCAGGGAAAGATAGCAATTAATCACTTGCCATGGCATTTGATGTCAGAGTGAAGGAAGATCAGATACCTGAGGAAAATGTAACTAAGAGTTAACCTGTTTGGGGAGCCATTGAGCAGTGGGGTCAGGAGTAATAGATAGCTGTATAAAAGCAACAACAACAACACAGGTCTGAGCTGAGATATTTTCATCCTGTCTGATGAAACAAATTGTTTGAGCTTCTCTATGCACCTACCTCTAAGCTTTGTTTGCAATCAATATTAATTCAAACAGAATTGATTGATCAGCCCGATAGTGAATTTACATAATCCTGTTTTGCTAAAATGTCAAACTAAATCTAAAATAATAACCAGGATAGACATAAGCTTTTTTAATAGAGATGTTATAGTTTTTGTCCACTTTTGTGTGCCCAGTTGTTGATCTGTGGCTTTTTTTTTTTAATGACATCCAATCTAACGCAGGTCCCAACCGGTCAACAGAAGGAAGGAATCTATGATGTCCCAAAACGCCATTTTATGACTGTAGGTGTTTTCATTGATATTATCTGTTCTTCCTCTTTTCTACTTACAAACCTCTCTGAAGGACCTCTTAGAGGAAAGGCTTTAGGCCGTCATGGACAGCCTTATTCTAAAACTATTGCATGGCACACTTGATGGCCAATGGGCTCAAAAGATGTTTCTGAAATCAAAGTTAGGCAAGAGTTTTTATTTGCTTTCTGCCATTCTGAGCTATGACTTAAAAGAACCATGAGTTAAAACTAAGTAACGAACCACACATCGGTAATTAAACAGAACATTAGATAGGCAGGATTTATCTGCAGTCTGTTGTATCATAAACAGATGGTCGAGACAAAAAGAACAGAATCTGTTTGCTGTTCCTGTTGGACTGGAACACTGAGCTGGGTGCACCCTGCAGAGAAAGGAGTGGCTGTTTCATCTTCCTCTAAAGATGAAGAGGAGAGGTTTGTTGGTGGGAAGAGATGCATGTGATGTTATCACGTTCACAAACAATCAAGGTCAGGAACCATCCACAGAAAAGTGCATCGTAATGAACAACCTTAAGCTTAATAGTGATTTGTTTTTATTTACTATTTTCAAACTTGAACTTAACATTTTTGCCTAATGCTTCAGCTCAGCTGCAGCAAAGTGCATCTCTACCCTGCACTGTTTTGGTGCTTCTAATTTAACACAACAGACAGATAAGTAGCCTGGGTCAATTGTTATCGGACCTAAACATCCCGTTTAGGTAGTGACGCCTCCATATCTCTGAGTGCTATTGCTTGTCTGTTCATTCAGTTGGAGCTTTTTGAAAACCACAAGCTCCCCTGATGTGTTGTCAGCGCCTGCAGGGAAGACCTCTGTGTACATTTGCTTTTTCTTTTCTATTTTGACTCGTTTTGTGACTCTCAATGATTACAGAGTGCTGTGCAAACTGAAACTTGTCAGTTATGTCCAATCCTTCAAAAGGATGTAAACACCATGTGAACAGCAACTACGACTGCTGCCATTTTGGTTTCTTTTTAACTGCAATGTGTTTCTTTAAAGCATGCACATTATTTTTGTTGTGTGATTTTCTGTGCTTCATTGTCTGCTTGAGCATGGCCCCACACATCCCATACAACTTTCCCATCCCATATATTCCATACACTGCTGTGGATCATGTGAGTAAAGGGGACAGTAGAATGGGGGTGGGGGTCTCGTGGTCTCGGATGGGTGACTCCAGTGTATATATCTGCTGGTGGAGTAAAATCTTCATGATGAAGCAGCCGAGGCTCTCACTGGGGGCCTCTAATGAGTGGCAGACATAAGAATATCTAATCAGAGTCTGTTTTATAGAACTCAAAAGTATTTTACCAACTCAATTATAGCAAGGTGTGAAAGATTCATTTTAGATCTTTTATCTGATAATGGAATGAGGGGATAGTTGTTTTTTGCCATCTGCAGCACAAAGTGCTTTTATGAATAGATTTTAGTCCCCACATCTATACAGCCATGAAGCACCACACCCTGTGTTAAAGCTTCGTTTGCACTTTTACAGTTCCTATTTACTGTTGGCTCACAAGACTTTGTATTTCTCTTTCTCTGCCTTGTCCGTTGGCTCAACTCACAGAACATCAACCACTTTGATCTTTTCGGCGACATGTCCACTCCCCCCTCAGTGAGTAAACCTCGTTCGTGATTTTATCAGGACGCTCACAGAGGCCTGACAGATCAAGCATCGTGTGTAAGATGTTTGGGCTGACTTTGACAGGGGTGATGTCTGTTTGTGTGTCTTGTTCCAGATGCCCCCATCACCAGCCAACACACTGGACCCAAGCAGGAGCAGCCGCCAGCAGCAGCACACTCCTGCTGAGCTGTACGCACCCTTTAGCCCCACCTCTGTGCCGTCAGGTAGCTGTCCACACTGAAACATCTGTTTGCAATGCAGAATCATTCCTAAATCAATCCCATGATTCTTTCATCAGATTATAATCATTAATAAAATGCAAAAGATGAGTTTCTGCATGTTTTTGGTCTGTGGGAGGAAATCGGAGTACCTGGAGAAAACCCACGCATGCACGGAGAGAACATGCAAACTCCAACTAGAAGGGCCCCCGGACCGGGATTTGAACCAGGGACCTGCTCGCTGAGAGGCAGCAGCTCTCCCAGTTGCACCACCGTGCTGCCCTTTAGTAGATTCCATTCAACTAAATAAAAGCAGTGGGTGGGGGCTTCAGTGTGAAATGAGTGAAAGGGAAAGAAGAGTAGAGGTCATAGAAACTGTGGACCAAGAAGTGGGAAACATTAATGAGGGTGAGGTTCATAAAGCTTTGAAGAAGCTGAAGAGGTGAAGGAGCTGGTGTCTTAGGGTTGGACCTGATGAAATACCACTGGAGGTTTGGAAATGCCTGATGGCATTGAGGTTTTTGACTCAATTTTTCAAAGGTATTTTTGAGAATGTCGTGTATGTAGCGTATTTTTTCCACTTTTTGCAAATTTCATCTCCGTTGTGCAACATACTGCTACCAAAAGTCGGAGAACATTGCTCCAAATCGCGTCACATGGTTTGAGATAAATCTTGCATTGGTTTTTCTAACAGTGTGACAAACTAATGGATAACAACCAAATAATAAATAGACTTTAATGATTTGCATTCTCACGTTTAATATTGTTTCTGTTTTCTGTTGAAACATCCTTTAACTCTTTTGTCTTCCCGTCTGGTTGTTCTCTCAGGTTACATGACGATGGGACCCGTTCAGGCTGCTCAGTGGTCTCAGCAACCATTTTCTGCTCAGGCTCAGACCCTGGCCTTCCCCGTGCAGGGGCCTCTACAGGTGGCTCAGGTACTCCCTGGTGGTCAGCCTCTCATCTGGAGCCAGGCCAACATTTTTTCTGCCTCTCAGCAGCAGTGGGCAGCTATGGCAGCCTACATGCCGGCTCAGACAGTGGGTGTGGGGGGCCACACCATTCCAGCCGCCATGCTCCAAGGCTTGGTACCCATCACCACTGTGTGTCCCCAGGGCTGTGACCTGTCTGCCCCCTCCTCAGCTATCACCAGCCCCCAACACACGGCTGATTTAACCATGCTGCAGAGACAGCTTAGCCCAGGGAAGGACAGACTAGGGGTGGATTCAGATGCTGGGGAGGGCCCTTCTACGTCAGGAATGGCAGCTGTGGGACTGGGTGCTGTGTCAGCATCAGGGAGCAGGTGTGGGACCCCCAGCCTCGTAACTGTACCCAACACACTGGTCTGCAGTCAGCTGCTGCCCCCGCAGACTGCTGCCCAGCAGGAAGACGAAGGAAGCTGTAGTGATCTTGATCTGTCCAGGATGACTCTGAGCCCGGGGGCCTCTACATCACCGTCCACTGGATCTCGTACGTTTTTTTGTTCTTTTATTATTGTCCCACTTCATGACTATAGTTTGGATTTTTATTAAAACACGTCAGAGCAGGTAATAGGTTTTTCTCCAGTTCAGGTATTTTATCATTGTTCCCAGTATATAACAAAAAAATAAAACACAGAAAGACAGAAAGAAAAACCTGCATGATACACACAAAAGACAACACCCATAAACTGGTGTCTGAGCAGGAAATGTAAAAACAAATCAAAGACATCAACAAGACAAAAGTATTTCTAGACGACACAACTTGAGTAATAAAACTCTTATAAAGTAATGAAGCCAACCAACCAAAAATCTGTAAAATAAAGCAAACAAGGACAAGCCAAAGGATAAATAAATCTAGATAAGTAAAAATAAGACAATTAAAACGAAAACAAAGTCCAGGTCATCTCACACTGCTCATGTTCAGTTCAAGTTCAAGAACCTTTCAAGACCCCAAGGGGCATTTTGTTTCACAGTCAGTAGGCACATAAATCATCTATACTAGACAATACAGAATAACAATACAGACATGATCACTGTTGAGAAGCCTGATCTCTACAGGGATGAATGAGGTTTTCAGTCTGTTCATCCTACATCTGGACTGCAGACACCTGCGTCCAGATGGAAGCAACCTGAACTCACCATGGAGTGATGATCAGGATCTGCCAGAATCAGCCTGGCCTTGTTCACTGACCTTGTCTTGTGTAGGTCAGTGAGGTTCTGTAGGTCAGTGAGGCTCTGTAGGTCAGTGAGGTTCTGTAGGTCAGGGAGGTTCTGTAGGTCA